AAATCCTTTCAGAACTATTAGACCAGGAAAGATGACACTCATGTGGAAACATCCTCAGGTAGTGTAGATTCAAGTTTGTTCAAATCATGACCCCCAGGGAGTAGAGGGCGGGGCCTCAATGGCTGACCAAAGTCTTACATTGGAAATAAAGGATTTTTTTAAAAAAATATTCTTCTCCAGAATCATTGGACTAGGAAAGATGAAACTCATGTGGATGCATTCTCAGGTAGTGTAGATTCACGACCCCGGGGTTAGGGCGATGCCAAATGGCTGAGCAAAGTTTTACATAGCAATATATAGGATTTTTTTTTAAAATCGTCTCCAGAACCACTGGGCCTGGAAAGATGAAACGCATGTCGAAGCATTCTCGGGTTGTGTAGATTCAAATTTGTACAAATTATGACCCCCAGGGATAGGGCGGGGCCACACAATGGCTGATCAAAGTTATACAAAGGGATATATAGGAATTTAAAAAAAATCCTTTTCTCCAAATCCATTGGACCAGGAAAGATGACACTCATGTGGAAACATCCTCAGGTAGTGTAGATTCAAGTTTGTTCAAATCATGACCCCCGGGGATAGGGTGGGGCCACACTGGCTGATCAAAGTTTTACATAGGAATACATAGGAAAAATCTTTTAAAAATATTCTTCTCAAGATTACCAAAGCTATGATTGGTGAAATTGATACAGAACCACCCTCAGTTAGAGTTAATTCAAGTTTATTCGTATCATGACTCCTGGGGGTATGGTGGGGACATAATGGGCAATCAAATCTTTAAATAGAAATATATAGGAAAAAACTTAAACTCTTCTTCTCATGAATGGCAAAATTATACATGTATGCTTTATCGATATAGTGACATTCTCGAGTAATAAAAAATTCAAACCTCCCTCCCCCAACAAGTAAGCTTTTCAATACTGAGCTGATTTGTGTTTTATAACAAGCCTATGTGTTCAGGTGAGCGATGTGGCCCATGGGCCTCTTGTTTTAATCCACTATCTACTGCAGCGTCTTTTGGAAGATTTCAAGGCATTTCTTTAATTTTTGGCAGATTCCCGAGTATTTGAAATTGGAAAATGGTAAACACATCACACGAAAAATAGTGACGTTTGATGACGTTACGCGCACTGGAGATCAATTCAGTATTAGACATAACACCCTAACAGTCTTTAAATAAATACAAAAGAATAAAATATGGAAAAATGAAAAAAAAAATCACCAGACTTGTAGTAAACAAGTAAAATGGGCATTTTCTGCTTGAATCCTTTTTTTTATCGAGTCCCCCATGTAGAAAAAAACATATTGACAAACATTTATTGTTGGTGTAGATTATCAATATAAGATTTTCTATTTAGCTGAATGATAGTGAGAATATTATCCTTAACTTTCATATAAACCTTTTAAGGTCCTATGTATATGCAAGATTGGGTCCTCGATTGGAGGAATAAAGGGAAACTCAAGTATGCGCATCAATAAAATTCCATCTTCCTTCTTCAACTTTTCTAAGAAAACAGGAAATGTGACGCTGTTTTAAACACATTAAGGTTATCGTCCGTGCACCATAAGGAAAAACATATCATAAAAGTTCATAATTTGTTTATTTATGCATAGATCTATTTGAAATTTGTAATGTGTATTGATGAAAAATTATCATTTTTAATAAAGAGTAGTGAAAACTTTAAAACACAGTGATGATAAGTTTTCACACTTGTCCTCTATTTTTGCGGACAACCTTCGTATAAGGTGTTGAATATCGTCATTTTGATATTTATTGCTAGTACATGTTTTATTCAATGACAATGTCGATAGTGTTTAAAATCTTTCCAGTCCACAGTGTAATAATGAAATGTAATGAGACTTTTTAATCATACACAGAGACGTAAGCGTAGTCATAGGTATCGGTCGTACAATAAACCTGCAATACGGAAGAAAATGCAGCTAAATCAATCCGTCTTTTCCCTAAACTTTAATATTCCAATAAAGGAATTGACGCGGTTAATATAAGTAAAAATCTTAATCACAAAAGAGCCCAGTCTTGTATTCCACCATATTTCAAGTTAAAGACACCTTGTATTTCCTACAAATATACATCGACCATTGCTTCCAAAATTTTCATCTACAAAAAAAATTTACATGGCCTGGATACTGAGTATCTGAAACAGAATACTCCATCGTGTTCATGTTCTTCTTTGCCCTATAACTGTAGTCCTGCTGGACATATTATTACAGGTGACGTAAATATAGTTAATAAAGAGGACCTTTGATCCCTGCCGACAAAGCAGGTAACAGCATTGTCTTCATTTATAAGGCTCATTATATAAATTGTATTTCGGAAGAAGTTGGATTTAATTCTACAAGTGACAATCCCACTTATACAGTTCTTTGGCCAGTTCCGAATAAGAAATCGATTCGGCGGTGCTATAAATATACTAGGCATTATTTCAAAATCAAATTGTTTTATCAAGGTAGTTCGATGACTTGTGGAATTAAATATTGTTTCATAAAATTTCAGCCTTCCCTAAAAAAAATTATTTTGCAAGTTACCATAGGTGTCCATTTTACTAGTTACGAATAAGCCGACGAGTTCCGGATAACCTAGAGATTCTTATTCAATTCAACCCTAAATTAAGAAATATACGTCGAAGACGTTATCCATTGGCATGCCCAAGAAAGGTTAAATTAATTGCTTACCAATAAATTATTTGTATTTCTAAAGGTTGAAGAGAAACTTAGAGGTACTGTGGGCACTGAGCTCATTTTAATGAAACCCCACACCTTCTTTATAATTATTTATGATATAATCCATGTTTTGCTCTGGGAGATCCGAAATAAGCGTCAGATCAAAAAGTAAAATACAAGGTTACAATGTCACAATGTAATAAAGAATCGGTTAAAATATCATTAAATAGTATTCAGTGGTATAGGAGGAATTGTGGATAAGAGATGGATATACCTTTCACTATTACAAAGAATGGCAGTATCTATGTTTTTCTCAGGGACCACAAATTATGTGCCAGATCCAAAAATAAGATAGGTGCGCTTTGTCACTGTTAAACAAAGATTCTGTGAACGACTCATTAAATTCTGTGAAGCCTCATTAAACTTCATTCAGTGGCAGAAGAGGGGTTGCGAATAAGAAATGGATACCCCAGAGCGTATCAGACGAACGGACGTACAGACAGGCGTACGTACGGATGTACAGACGGATGGATGGACAAACATCTCATTACTATATTCCCCTTCTTCCGTTTTCTTCAAGCGAGGGTATAATAAGTCACGTTTACAATGAAGAAAAACAACGAAGAGTGAATTTATAATAGTGTTTAAAATGGGTATTCGCAACTGGTAAAATAAGAGAAAGAAAATATTTCGATATCTTCCAGTGTTCTAAATATCTATTTTTGACAAGTTTTTAGTATATTTTAGAGTACATATCAAAATTACTTTTGATACCTGGAACGTTGTCTTATGTGAAATATGTATGTATCTACAGAGGTTTTTCTGCAGACTTACGCGTCGCAGTGATTCAGATTTGTTGTATTGTAAAAGTATGTCGACTGTTTCAAGTAAGATAACGAAACCAAACTGACGGCAAAAAATCAAAACTTCATATAATTCAAACACTCATGAATAAGCCTTCCTACCATAGATAACAATTTATTTTTACACCGTTGAATTTATTAATTATCAGTCCTTAAATTGCTAATTATTCGGAACTGGCCAAAATCCGGAACTGGCCAAACGACTGTACTCGTACTTCCCTTTCTAAGGAAGAAATTCTTCAAAATCATATGTCAGTTTTAATATTTTTAATATTCCACAGAGCCAAAATGAATTTGAACTACCCTATATATATTGGATTCCGAAACTTTATAAAAATCCTTACAAACAAAGATACATTTGGGTTCCAGTAAATGTTCAACCAAGCCTCTTTCGTTACTCCTCACTAAGATATTGACAGTAGTGAAGAAAAAAATTCAAGAGGACTGTGCAACAATATATTCAAGAAGTGGTGTGTGTCAGATGTGGATAATCAAAAATTCCAAACAACATTTGGGCAATTTGAAATCACAAGATTTTAACCAAATCAACAGCATTAAAACTTACGACTATTCAACTATATACACAACCACTACCCACGATAAATTAAAGTCCAGGCTTTTTGCTGCATTTTCAATAAAAATGGAACTCGTAAATTTACTTATTTGGTCATTGGTCATTTGCAAAATTATTTTGTTAAAACACATTCTGATTGCACACACAAGTACTCTGAAGTTGACATCAAGAGATGCTTGAGTTTCTGATTGACAATATCTATGTGGTTTTTGGAGACCAGGTATTCAGACAACCTATTGGAATTCCCATGGGTACCAATTGCGCTCCGTTATAAGCAGACCTTTTTTGTATTCATATGAAACAGAATTTGTGCAAAATCTGATGCGTGAAAAGAAGAAAACACTTGCTGTGGCCTTCATCTCGACATGTAGGTATACCGACGACGTATTGCCAATTAACAATGGTAATTTCCATTCTTATGTCGATACGATATATCCTGGTGAACTTAAGATAAAAGATACCACAGAGTCTGACACATCATTTCGTAAGTTCTATGGTTGACACAATGACCTTGTCAGCAAATACAATTTATCATTGAGTCAAATGCTAACTGAAGTTTTTCATGCTAATTGTTACTCCATTATTTATACACTAAATTGACGACGGATTTTCCCGATCATGACAAGGAGCACACGGCGGGTGTGACCGGTCAGCAGGGGATGCTCACTCCTCCATGGCATCTGATCCCACCTCTTATGTTTCGGTTTGCTCTGCTCCTATTTTGTATTGTTTTATGGACTTTGATATTGAATACTGTTCGTTATCTCCATATTTTTCATACAGTAAAATTCAACAACGTAACTATATCTTCCCAACATTCGCAAAACAAACTTGTGTAAAATTAAAGAAGAAATAACAATGAAATTTAGCCCCTATATGTTTTTTTTTAATTCTATTGTTTATGAAACAGCTCAAATTAATTTATAACGATAACATTATATTAAGCTTGTTTCTAATTACATTGGAAAATAATGATTTACATAGACTGGATCATCGTTTTTCACTTCAGGAATTATTTCATACATTTCCACTTGATCCACAGTGCGATATATGACAACATGACCATCTTTACACGCCATTATAAGGTATCCCTGATTGCTTTCAAACGCAAGTGCAACAGGACTGTGAAAAATATTTTCAATTTCATATTCTTTGTGGCTCAACATTCGAGTCTGAAAATTTACAAAATGTAATTTTTGACCTGTTGAATTTCCTACAACAACATTGTTCTTACAAACACAAGGTTTGGACGGAGTGAAATATTCACCCTTCGGACTTTTCCAACCACTTGTATTGCTTTCCCTCTCGGAGAGCACAACTCTTTTTAAGCCAAGTTCTTTATCGGATATCAAAAGTCTAATTTTGGAACTACCTGTTTCCACCGAAACATACGAGGGTTGCTTAAGAAACACAACACCTTTTCCGTATTTATTAAGAACTTGTCCTGTCCCATTCCTGCGAATGGTATATTCGATTACTTCATTTTTCCTTGGTTCACAAACATAAACTTTTGAGGATGCTACACAAATTCCTTGCGGTTTATCACAATTTTTCGTAAATCTTTTCTCAAAACTGTATCGATCATTTTTCCTCAATTTGAAGACATGGATTGTTGCGTCTGAAGATACTATAAGGAAAATGCATTATACATTGTGAAAGTTTGATTATGTATGGTACTCAAAAATTGCTAAAACAATTAATTATGCAATAGAAATAATTTAAAACATTGAAAATATCACAAAATTTAGAAGACTTCATTTGTAAATTTCCCAATTTTATTCTAGATTTTTTTTAAAATGAATATAAATGCAATAGTTAACATTCTTTCGATAAAAAAAAAATTAAATTTGAATATATATACTTTTTTACTTTAGCTTAGTTTCTAAATGTAATAAAAAATTGATAGAATGTGTCTGTTTGCTATCATAACTAAACAAATGCAATACAATAACGTCTTCCAGGATCTGTGATGTAAAGGTATTCTTTCCTGTCGTCTGACGTATAAGCTGCTACATCAAAGGGTCCATTCAATCTTTCTGTTATATCCCATAAGATTTTACCATGGATGTCATAACCAGTACAAAATCCTGCAGAATGACTGGCAACTATGATGATGTCATTCACATAAACCATACCTAAAGACATACAATGAATTTGTAACTTTAATGTCAATATATACATATATTTGCTGATTCTTTTTTTTTTTGAGATCATCTTTCTTTTTCCAAGATCACGAATTATTTGAACGAATCGGTAGCTGAAAACAGTGAAATGCACGGATACAAAGACGAATGCATTTGACTAGGAATTATGAAAAATGATTTGTAAACTGTCATAATCTATCACCCGATAGCATATAAAAGTCCTACCAATTGTTCTGTGTGAATTATGTTTAAAGTAATGGGAAAAGATCAAAATGAGGTTATAAATTACTTTTAAAATAAATATTGTTGTCACGTTATACAATTTTGCGTTGTAACAATGTGACTTTAATTTGTGCAAAAAACCATGTGAGTTTAAAAAGTGTGTTGAGCTGTAATTTATTATATTTATAGTTATTGTCGAACACATTATTCACAGTCGTAGTGAAGATGTACAGTAATCCAAACACACCTGATAAATATCTATTTAAAGTACTCTTTTTCTTTTGCCGGTTCTCAGTTTTCATTTTTCTATTGTTATTTTTTTAATTATAATATTTTTTCCGATTGTTCAAGTTCACCCTCAAAAGAAACGTTGCTGTTTGCAAGCCTATTGATTAAATGGCATTTTTTACGCAACACTGTATTTACTTGCCAATTCTACTATAGCACGCAATGGCCTAGTTTTAATCATTACATATTATTAGATTTGTAAACTATAAGTATCGAAACGTATTATTTACTGTTTTAGTGTACTCATGTAAAGAACTAAATATATTTAAGTACATGAGCAAGTTTTAAACTTTTTCAAATCTTACAGAAAACCAGATTTCTTGAAAAGAAGAGTTTGTTTTATGCATCAATATATTTTGTAAGACATTTCAGAAAGTTTTTAAACAGTAATTAGAATAAACATGCTTTCCTTTAAGACTGAAACTCATTAAATTATACACGGGTAATGTTAGTAACATACTGTATGATAAAAAAGAATCTCACTAATAATGATATTCCTTTTGTTTGAATCTAACACATCATTGTGAAAGTTCCATGGTTGATACAATGACCTTGCCAGCAAACACAACATATCATTTTGCCATATGCTGACTGAAATGTTTATGGACGAAATAGTCAACGAATATTTCCTTTTCCCAGGATCAACACGTGGCAGGTGTGACAGGTCGATAGGGGGTCTCACTTCATCCCAGCACTGATGTTTTAGGAGGTCCGTGTTTGCCCTGCTCCCGACTTGTATAGGCTTTAAACTTGAATACTGTACGCTTTATCCATATTTTATTCATGTAGTAAATTAAGTTTTTTATATATATGTGTGTGAATTTATAATGAAAAAAATCACTCACATTCATCAAAAATTTTCTTCAAATGTTCCGAAAAGTTTTCATTTCGAAAATATAACGACGTTATCTCTCTCAATAAAAAGCTGAAAATATAATCATATGTATTTATCTTCATTTCCTATTGCTTTATTCTTCTGCATTTACCACTTGCTATTTTGCAACTTTCGGAATTGGCATATGAATATAGGATATCCTTTTCATGATATATTTTTTTCAGGAAAAGGAGTTCTTATGTCTAATTAACTTGCAAAGTATTTGAAAATAATCATTTCAAGTTATTCTCTGATACATGTTTTATTCAACAAATTTTATGGAATCACAGGATAATATAAATTATGGAAAATGAAATTAAAGCGAACCGTAATCAAGCCCAAAGGTCCATTCATTTGATTTGGAGCAAAGCAAACATGAACATGTAAATCACTAGAGGTGCATGGGATCACGTGCCATGAGAAAGTAAGCATCCCTTATCGACCGTTCACACCTGGTGTGTACTCCTTATGATCGGGCAAACACAAAAATCGGTGGACAATTCAGTGTGTACAATATGACCTGATAATTTGTACGAAAATCGCCAGATAGCATTCGCCCAATGATAGTTTGCATTTGCTGACAAGGACAGATGAAACATACCTTGAAGTTCCTTACCTGTAATTCTTGATTCCGTGTCAAAATAGTTCAGTCTTTCTTGAATGTCTTCACTGTTCTGTGTACTTCTACTCCGTGTTAAAGACGACTCATTGACTTTTGATGATTTGATTTGACTGATGTCAGTGTAGAGATCCTACGATGTTAAAATACACAAAATCAGATCTATGTACATACTAGTATTCAGCATTTTAGTTGCGGTATGCTATTTTTGAAAAATGACTGTTTTAAACAATGAAAGTAAGAATTAACAGGACTATTCCATTTACTCTAATATTAAAAGCATCTTCGATCTTTTATTTGTATGTGTAGTACAATATACTGTAAATCACTTTTTATTCACGAGAACTTTATTTTCGCGTAATTACGCGGGACAGTGTGTTCGCGAAAAATTTCATTCTCGCGTATAATAGTATTCCTTAAGATTATATAGAGCAATAACCGTAATTCGCGAAAATTTTGTCTCGCTAATCAAGAATCAATGACTATCTCGCGAAAATAAGGTATCGCGAAAATTTAGTTATCTACAGTAGTATTCAGGATGACCGATACCTTTTCATTGATTTTTTATGTATATTATAGACGTAAACATATTTGCTAACCATAAAATATCTATTAAATTTGTTGTAATATTAACTGTTTTGAACATAATTTGCATCAAATCAAATTTACACCCCACTTTTTCCTACCTCATTACCATATAATGCGTCCATCTCACTCATTCCATTCATATTTTCATACATGTTTCTCGTCCTATCGGCTGAAGTATACATTGAGCTAGAAAGTCTCGAATTGATATACATGCTATAAGTGGCTGACGAGCTAGAATCGCTGTTGGTTGATGCAGATGATCTGATGCTGGCACTCCGACTACTACTTGGAATACTGTTGGTCGATTCTTGAATTCTTTTAGTTTGGAATGAGAAAAATGGCAGAGTGTAACACTTGTGAAATTCGTTCCCCTTCTTTTGAAGCAGAGACACTTCCCGTAATAAGACGTCATATATTTTAATGACAAGTTTGCATTTTTGTTTGGACCACTCCATTTCGGAAGCAATTTCTCCTTTTAAGTGTCCTCCTTGTTTTATTATTTTTTTATTTTGTTTTACCACTTCCAAATCGATTTGTATAGCTGTTAAACCTCTTTCGAGTTTTTCTTTTATTATCCGAATTTCATTTTCGGCTCTTATTACATGTTTTGAAAGTGACTCTAAATGATGTCCTGAACAACATTCATTACAAGATGGAATTTTACAGTCTAAACACCAATTCTTAATGATTTCATGATCGTGGTATTCACAAGGTGACTGTGGATCAACATTTATATCCTCCTCATGGCATTTCCTGTCAATCATCTCACTGACTTCGTATGTTTTGTGTCTTTTAGTTGAGGGATTCATGCTATGAAATTGATTGCAATTGTGACACATCCTCATACTGCATCTTTCACAGTAACTTACTGCATCTTTATCGGTATGTTCACTTAAAGAACATGCGGGATTAGTGAGCAAAAGGTTGGTGATTTCCCTATATGCTACCTTCAAAGAAATATCTTTAGCAAACCGATTTATGGCAATCCTACTTGTAGCCTGAAGAAAGGTTTCATCACAAACAGAGCATTTTACAATTGGTTGCTGCCTACGAATACATCTCAAGTTCATTGTATGACCACATTGTAGAAACCAAGGGTCAATGTAATTTTTCGAACAACATGGACATTTTGTGTACTTCTCCACATCACTTCCATAAACGCTATAAAGAATTAGTCATTTAGATTTTAAATGTTATTATTTTCATTTAGCAGCTTTTGATTATCAACTACCTATTTCACAATTTTGACTTATCAGAAAGTTTGATTTTTGAAATAAAAGTAATTATAATGAAATGTACGGAGATAACAAATAGTATTCAAGATCAAAAGTCCATAAAATAATACAAGATAGGAGCAAACACGGAGGGGGGCTTTTTTAATAATCCGTCGTCAATTCAGTGAATAATATTGGACTAACAATTATTATGAAAAATGTCAGTCAGCATTTGAATCAATGAGAAATTGTATTTCCTGACAAGGTCATTGTATCGACCATAGAACGTACGAATTGATTACTTTAAACAAAGCTGCTGATATTTTTGTTTCATCAACTTGTTTGTCGATAATTTATCTCGTTTTAGAAATTGTTCGTACGTAGAGCATGCTCTTGAGTATGAAATCGACTGACATTTATAAACCTTGTATGCAGGTGATGATATATTAATACATTAGAGGGTATATTAATACATTAGAAACAGATGTGTCGGACCCTGCTCAAGCTCGCTGGGATATATCGTTCAGACATAAGAAGTCATCGCGTTTATCATATAGCTTACTTGTTAAAAATATTACCATTAACGTCTTTTTTGGGGCTCGTAACATAAAGCTAAAATATCCAAATATGAAACAGATGTGTCGGACCCTGTTAAAAATTTTTTTTTATCTCAAGCTCAATGGTTTTTGATATATAGATATATTGCTAAAAGTTATTCAGTTAGTGTTTTAATTAATTATATATTAAAGTTGACGTCCTTGCCTATCGGTTTAAGTTATGTTAGATTAGATTTCGTATTAGAATTATAATTATGTTATGAATTGTTCGGAATGTTTGGAAACAAATACCACACGGTCTCACTGGTACGATATATGAAATGTTTTCAGTTTACCTTTTGTAACTCTTTTGTTTTGACATGTTCACTTAGCCTGTTATTATCGCAGACAAGAAAAGATAATCGAAATTACCATTGTTAATTGACACTACGTTGTCGATATATCGGTTTTTTTTCTAAATGTCTCTCTCTCTCTCTCTCGAACTCGAGGTGAAGGCCATTTATTTTCTACTTTACAGAAACTTATTACTGTTACTGTCATTCCCTCTTTCTTTTCTGTTTTTAACAAATTATTTCAACTCATATTTTCAAAGTGAACATATTCCTATTTATACAATTCATATGAATATAAAAATAGTTCTGCCAATAATTGGGCGCCATTGATATCCATGGGAATTCCAAAAGATTGTTGGGAGATCTGGTCTCCAAAAGCACATGGATATTTTCAATCAGAAATTCCAGCATATTTTTTATGTCAAATTCAGAGTACTTGTGTGCATAATCAGAAGGTTCTTTAACAAAATAATGTTGCAAATGACCAATGACAAGGTAAGTAAAAAAGATAGGCGCATTTGGCGTGTGATCTGCAGGAATCATTTGTACGGAACATTTATGGTTTAAATGTCCATGATTTGGTTGGCTGAACATAGCTGGTCAGATTTTACAAACACGTCCATAGAGTTTTTTTTTCATTTAGTTTAAAAGACCTTGTGAGAGTGTAACATTTTTGTCCGTTTTTTCCTTGGCGGTACTATAACATAGTAATGTTTCACAAAAAATAAACACCTAAAATTTTAATGCATAGATGCATGATACGTGTACATGTACAATATGGAATAGAAGATTGGAATTGATTTCGCTCGAGAATCAAATTGAACCAAAATTTATCTAATTCAAAATTTTAATACATCAGTACATAAAACGAAACTGACAAAATAAATGGTTGTTAGCATGAAAAAGAAATTAACGCCCCATGCCAGGCTCGAACCAAAAACTTTTCGCTTCGAGCACATTCAACAGGTAGTCCTACTTACTGAGCTATCACCGCTATACATATACAGTTGATTTAAAAAGGACAAAGAAGCACAACATTCACACATTTGGATTTTTTGGGAAAAAGTTCATTTTTCGTGGTCTCCTGGTCTTCTCTCCATTTTTTAAAAATGTGTATTCGTTTCTTTGAAATAAAATACACACAAATAATGTTTCAAAATCATGGAGAGAAGACCCAGAGATAGAAAAATTTTAGAAAAAAGTGTTTAAGAATTTACCATTTTGTACCAATTGTCTGATCTGGCCAATCTTATTTTTTAGCTAATCAAAGCTCAATTTCGGGAAAATATTTTCCGTTCCTGTTGCACAGAAACCCGATAAATAAAAATTTTTTTTCATAAAATTTCATATGACATTTCGATAAAATGTTCACTTTTCAAATACATGTACGCCAAGATTCCTGAAGATTGCCGATCAAAAGCGCCCTCGTTATTTAAAAAAAAATAATTGAAAAAGCAGCTGTCATTGATATCAAAAAGCCTAAACTTAAATTCCTCCTGGGGAATGATTATGTATAAAGTTATAAAGTCGTACAGTGTATGTTTGTAAGCTTTTGATTTAAGTAAAATCTTGAGATTTCAAATTGTCCACATGTGTATCCTCATCTGATTTACACCACTTCTGAAATAATTTATTGCACAAAACTCTTGAAGTCTCTCCTTTACTACTGTTAATATCTTAGTAAGGAGTAAAGAAAGAGGCTTGGTTGAACATTTACTAGAACCTTTTGTGAATAGATCTTTTTTGTAAGGATTCTTTTGACATTTTGAAATCCAATAAACATATGGTATACGTATTTCAAATTCATTTTGATTCTTTGGGATCCTAAAAAATTTCAAAACTGACATATGGTTTTGAAGAATGTCTTCCTAAGAAAGGAAACTATGTGCAAAAGTTGGATTGTCACTTGTAGAATTAAATCCAAGTTCTTCTAAAATACAATTACCGTTCACGGTAGCTCAGTCGGTAGAGCACTCGCTCCGTGATCGGAAGGTATCGACTGACCTAAGTCGATAAAAATGGGAAGCAACTGTTCCTTCGCCATGCGCTCAGCACTTTGAGGTGAAAGTTGCGGGTCCTTCGGACCTTAAAAACCGGGGTTCCGTGTCAGCGGCGGGCGTTGGCACAAAAAAGATCCCTCACTGCTAAATGGCCTTGAGTGCCGAGTAAAGGTCAAGATTTAAAGCCCTTCACCGGCATACGGTGACGTCAAGAAGATGCTTGAGTTTCTGATTGACAATATCTATGTGGGTTTTTGGAGACCAGGTATTCCAACAATCTATTGGAATTCCCATGGATACAAATTGCGCTCCGTTATTAGCACACTTATTTTTATATTCATATGAAGCAGAATTTGTGCACAATCTTATGCGTGGAAAGAAGAAAACACTTGCTGTGGCCTTTATCTCGACATTTAGATACATCAACGACCTATTGTCAATTTACAATGGTTATTTCCATTCCTACGTCGATACGATATATCCTGGTGACCTTGAGATAAAAGATACCACAGAGTCTGATATATCTGTTTCATACTTGGATATTTAACTTCATACAAACGTTAATGGTATTCTAACATCCAAGCTATACGATAAACGTGATGACTTTTCTATCGTCAACTTCCCTTACTTATGCAGCAACGTACTTCATCACCCGCATACAGAGTTGATTCGAGCATGCTCTACGTATGAAGAACTTCTAAAACGAGGTAAATTATTGACAAACAAGTTGATGAAACAGGAATAACACTAGTCTCGTTTAAAGTCATCATTTCGTAAGTTCTATGGTCGATACAATGACCTTGTCAGCTAATACAATTTATCATTGAGTCAAGTGCTTACTGACGTTTTTCATCTAATTGTTAGTCCATTATTTATACACTGAATTGACGATGGATTTTCCCATCATTTCCAGATCATGACATTGAGCACACAGCGGTTGTGACTGGTCAGCAGGGATGCTCACTCTTTCATGGCACCTGATCCCACCTCTAATGTTTCGGAGATCCGTGTTTGCTCTGCTCCTATCTTGTATTGTTTTATGGACTATTCGTTATCACCACATCCTTCCTTAATTAATGTTGTAATCTGCTTTGGTGACAGAAGTCACCAGTAAATACTGATCATGTAATCTATCTATATCTTTCCACTTATAACTGTCGAATACAGATGGATACATGTAGTTGGGTTTCATATTGTCCCTCAGTCTTTTAAAGCGTAATTGTAACATTTATCTGGTGCATTTTTTCCCATTCTTACAAAGAGTAAACATTAAAATATGCCGAATCATTCCTTTCCCTGTTTTTACAGAAAGATGTTACAAAGAACCTCTTTCAAATTAACATAATATAAACTAGAGGTACTGTGAGAAATAAGCTCACTAAATGATACCCCCCGCCTCCCATATGAATAATATGGCAGTGTCCATGTTTTGCTCTGGAAAATCCAAAATATATGTCAGATCAAAAAGTAAAATACTGTAAATGTATTATATTTAGCGTGTACGATATTTAGCGGAAATTGGTTTTTAAACAAGTTAGCGTTGATTTGATTTAGCGCATTTCTTGATATTCTTATTTATGTATCATTGTTTAAGACATTTAGCAATGTACTTGAATTAGCGGAAGTATCTTTCCGCCAAAAGCGCTAAAAAGAATACACCGCCAAATGTAATACGTTTACAGTAGGAGGTGTACAATGGCAATATGTAATAAAGGTTCTGTGAAAGTTTCATTAAATTTCACTTCCGTGGTATGAGAGGAGTTGCGGATAAAAGATGGGTATCCCAAAGCGTAATAGACGGACGGACGGACGGACATACCGATTACTGTATACCTTCCCGCTTTTCAAGCGGGGGTATAATGAAAAAATACCGTTGTTGTTCATGCTGATCATTATTTAGTTCTTACGTATAGCCATTATTTAATATGAATTCTAACTTTTAAAAATCATTTTTGAATAGGAATTCAAAAAATACCTTAAAAACTTTAAAACTCCTAGTAAGGTTCTTTCTCAAGTAAGGCTTATTTCGATTTATTTTTGGGAAAGGATAAGAGAACTAGTAACAATTCTAAAAATGAAACGTTTTATAATTTCCAAATCATAAAAATCATAAATATCTATTTTGGTGGTATGGCTGTTTTTGATATCTACATCTACATCTACATACTACAGCATTCCATCAAACATGATGATTATACGCTGGCCCTGCGCAAACGGACCCCCTGTTTCTTCTTTTTTTATCTGCGAATTTCTTTTTAAAAAACCCAATATCTTATTCACCTTAGAAGTTATATTATTGATATGCGGTTCTCAGGTTATGTTGTAGGATAATGTTACCCCTAAATATATTTTCTTTATAGATTCTAATGTGTGTCCTTTAAGTTATAATTATATTTTACTGGTGTGCGAGATCTAGATCTGGTGATACTGAGCGAATTGCATTTTTGAGGATGAAATTGCATTCCCCTGACATATTCCCAGTTAGCTAAGGAATCAAGATCTTTTTGGAGGATTACACAGTCATTTTGATTATGAATGGGTCGATAAAGCAGTCATCGGCAAAGAGCCTTGTATTAGATGTAACAGATGATGGTAGGTCATTTATATATAAAAATTAAAAATAGAAGGGGCCCAAAGACTGACCCTTTAGGAACCCCACTGACCACAGACACTGGACTGGATACCTCACCATCAAGGACAACCTGTTGTACTCTGTTGCTGAGAAAAGCAGAGACCCGTCTCCAGGTGTTACCGCGTATCCCATAATTATCCAACTTCCTCAGCAACTTCTGGTGAGGTACCTTATCAAATGCCTTTGAGAAGTCCAAAATGATCAGATCAGTTTGAATGTTTGAATGTAAATTTTCCAATAATTCATGGCTAAGAGTAAGTAGCTGAGTTTCGCAACTTCTCTTAGCTCTAAATCCATGTTGGCAATCTACTAAGATATCTATCATATTTGTCTAAATGGTTCAAAACGTTGCTGACAACTATACGCTCTAGAATTTTACAACAAATGCATGTTAATGAAACAGGTCTGTAATTACTAGCCAAATATTTCCCCCCTTTTTGAATATAGGAATGACATTAGTTTGACGCCAGTCTGCAGGTACCTCCCCTTGTGCGAGTGAAATGTTAAAAATATGTGAAAGATGTGGAGCAAAGAAGAAGGTATGGTTTCCATACAAATTTTGCCCTGTGATTTTCTAAAAAATGAAACTGGTGTAAAAGTTGAAAACTCATGCTTTTTAAATAATTGAAATTCAATGCAGAAAAATCATACAAGTCATTTATCTCACATGTGTTTTTAAATGTTAATTATGACGTCATAAAGATGTGCATTTTCCCGTATTTTCTTAAAAAGTTGCAGAAGACACTAATTTTCAATGGAATTTTCTTTCAGATAACATTGTCCACAGGCATCGCCCACAAAGATCTTGAGATATGTGATTTGTTATTAAATTTTGCACAAGATATCAAAAAATTAAAGTGAGCGACGGCCGTGGACACTGTTTTCTAAAGGAAAATCACCCTTGAAATGTGCCATTTTGAGGCTTTTTCTGTTGAAAATAGAGAAATGCTTCACATTAATGACGTCATATTTGCAGAATGGTAAACCTTAATGCCACATTCTTTCCTGATTTATCAGAGTCATTTATTTAACTAATATTTAAGCCAGTTTCAAAACTTTTTGATGTCATTACATTTTTAGGGCGGAATAAAGCTAAAATCATACCTTCTTCTTTAAATGCATATTGTTTAAGGATGCGAGCTGGTATTTCGTCTGGTCCTGTCGCTTTACTAGGATCTAATTTTTCTAATAATTTTTGTATGCCATTTACAGTTATGTATATTTCTTGCATGTATGGATATGTCATGGCTCTACCTCTTTTTGGGGTTCTCATCCTTTGTCTATATTTTTATTGGTACCTTTGTAGTAACTTTTGTAAGACGGAAGATTTAATTAACATAGGAAATAATTCTCCTTAGATGGACGTGAATCATATCATTTCGTAAGTTCTACAGTCGATACATTGACGTTGTCAGCAAATACAATTCATCATAAAGTCAAACGCTGACTGACGTTTTTCATAATAATTGTTAGACGATTATACAATCTCAATTGAAGTCAGATTTTACAGTTATTTTCCGATCATGGCGAGGAGCACATGGCGGATGTTACCTGATGGTATGAGATGCTCACTCCTGCATGACATCGTGTTTGCTGTGCTCCTGTTTTGAGCATGAATACTGTTTGTTATCTCCATATATTTCATTAAAAAATGAACTATGGTAAATTATTGTTAGAGTTAGTACTGTAGTCCAGTTTAACTCATTTAATGTCCAACATTGGAGGTCAATATGAGAAAAACAGATTATTTCAAAGCAGCAAAGTAAACGTCGGAACATTTAGACGCGGTAGAATTTGTGAATTGAAATTCAAAACTGAAAACTAGCAATTGTTAATTTCTTACCAAGAATCCTGACCGCCTGTCGCCATATCTAATGCAGCTAAACACCAGGAAGGGGATTAAGCGTAAACAATCCTTCTCTGGAGATGCAAGTTTTCGAATGATCTAAAATCTTACATGATTTTTTTTTCTATATAAGTATACCATCATACTTTTGGGTATTGTCTCTAAACACATGTTTACTTTTTATAGGTGTATACTTTAGAAAACACTCTTTAGATATTTTAAAATTTAATTTCACTTAATTTTTCAAATTTTGTGCTTTTTACAAGTAAATTTGAAACCAGTTTTTTTGTCTTTCAGTGTACATTTGAATACTATATGCTGTTTAATTACGAAAATTAATAAACTGAACTTCATTTACCTCTTGATTTCCTACATCTGACGTTTCAGATACACTGTATACAATCATAATCTATTTTATCTACTTATTCAATTTTAAAACAGAGAAAGGAAGCCAAGGAAAATAAGCGGAAAAGCATCCTTACAACTCTTCACTTATATTTGAAAATGTTACAACAGTCATCGTCACATGAAATTGAAAAATAATAGCTGTGATGAAATTTATGAAATCAAGTTAAAAAAAGACAAACAAGCGGTATCCTGGAAATCCTGGGGATAAAATCTCGTAGAGGAACGTATCTCCCATTGACGGTTCACATCATGTATTAAGTAAAAAGTAAAAGAAGTAATTCTTTGGATGGATGTTTTAAAAAAACAACGCCCGAATAATTGGCGGGAAACATCTCAGTAAGAAAAGGAACAATGGATAAGATGTATTTGCAATCAATATATTTCCATAGAATATACAAAACGCTGATTTTTAACAAGAAAGTTTCAATTCTATTACAGTAACTTATTTGTTATATTGGGTTAAAATTTATAATTAAGATATACTTTTAAAAGAATTTAGAAAGGAGACATAACGCCATATTTAGAGGATTATTGATTGATTGATTGATTGTATACTGTTTAACGTCCCTCTCTAGAATATTTCACTGATATGGAGACGTCACCATTGCCGGTAAAGGGCTGCAAATTTAGGCCTATGCTCGGCACTTACGGCCTATAAGCAGGGAGGGATCTTTATCGTGCCACACCTGCTGTGACACGGGGCCTCGGTTTATACGGTCTCATCCGAAGTACCGCCCCATTTAGTCGCCTTTTACGACAAGCAAGTGGGTACTGAGGACCTATTCTAACCCGGATCCCCACGGGGCAGATGATTATTGAATATTACTGCATAAAAAGGGAAAGTTGAAGATTTAAGATCAGAGATAAAATCTTTTTTTCAAGTTCTCATTTAGCAATTAACGTCTCTTAAAGCTGAACACGACTCATAAATAGGTTTTTCGATACATGTATTACTACCTATAACATCAGCACTAGGGTTTACTTCTCGCATTTGGTAAACACTTGACTGCTTTATTGGCAAGGGTATCAGCGTGGAATACTGACCCGCGTGTTCGTGCTGGCTATCTTGCAGTACCTTTGTTTACGTTTTATTGCAGCTTCATGTGTTTGTGTTTGTTTGATTACTGCACTAACCTGTGCAACTATTGTAAGTTTCTGTTGGGAATATCAAAGATTTTTAAAAACTGAATAAAATAGTTATTGCAAGGAATATATCTCTATTAATCTATATTATTTCGAGTTGAAAAACGTTCCTAAACAGGCACGTATCAAGCCAAAAAAAGCCAAAGTCGAAAATCCTATTTCGTGGGGGGGGGGGGGGGGGGGGGGGGAGGCAAACTTTTTCAATATCTATTTTTTTAAGCTTACAATACTATATTTCCTTCATATTATTACACTTAAGTATAAAGTTGGGGGGGGGGAACCAGTCTTTCGGCGAACATTTTCAATAGAAAAAGTATTGTTGGCAAAAAAACGGGGGGGGGGGGGGCTGCCCCCCCCCTGGCAACCCCTGTTGCTACGTGCCTGCTCGACCCTTAAAAAAAGAACCATGAGTATATATAGGTTCTCGAATGATATGTAGGTCGAATGATTAATATCAAACGAGTTGTGTGTTTTTGACACACAATGAGTTGGATAAAAATCATATCCAACTACAATTCATTTTATCGCTATCACTATTCATTATAAATATTTAGTCTGTTTTATATAGTACTAAACCTTATTTTACTCCATCAATCCAACGTAAACCAATTAATTCTGACGTCACAATTTTGGAATATAAAAAAATCCATCGAGTCATATCCAAGGGATATGCATTTGATAAAACTTGGATATCCAATATATAAATAAAACCAATTCTTTCAAATTAGAATTAAAATAACGATTCTTAAAAAGACACTGTCGTAGGTAGATTAGAAGACCCAACGGAAATGATGAAGTAAAATGGGTTGATTTACTTAGGAATATACAATATGGCTTTTTATTATGGCAACACTGTTTATTTTAAGTCACATTAAAATACAGACAAAGAAAGACAATTCTGTCAAGTATACCTTGCTTTTCAAATAATATATATTAATGAAGAATTCTTTTCTACGACTATATAAATTATTTGAGGTATATTTGCCTTAATATCTTTTTATTTGTTTTTAGATGCTAGAGACATTATTTTAAAGAACGTATTTTTTCCTTCTCGTATTTTACTTGTACAACTCAGAATAAAATATTAGTAGATAAATTGAGATGTTTAATTATTCTTGCGGGAATTATATTCTTGCCGAACGGCTGATTTAATAACTTTTTAAAAATACTTATGTTTTAGAAAAAAAAATCAAATGAATATAATGTTCCAAACAAAAAATAAAGAGGAAATTCTGATACTGAAATTCGTTTCTATCCCCCCCCCGTTTTTTTTTAAAAAATATTCTGATAGTTTTTTATCTGAAAAAAATAAAAGAAAAGAAAAACATTTCATGCTTTGAAATAGAATTATGTATTTATAGCAAATAAATGTCTTCCTTATTCGTGTGACCTTAAACCTGAGATTGTTCTTAAAATAAAACAGTCATATCTAATCTGCGATAAATACAAAACAACAGATTAGAGGTAAATCCGTCCTGAACTGAAATGAAATTTGAAATCAAACTAAGGAGCGATGATACATTTTTTCTATCTTGAGGAGAAATAATATCATGCCACAGGTTTAGGAAAATGGTTAATTCTTTGAATTCATATTCAAACAAATCATTTTTCTAGAAAAAAATTAATATATTGTAACGATCCCCCTATTTTTCTTGAATAACTCATTTTCCTCTTGGTATATTTCTAAAGCACTTTTTATGCACACTTTCAAATCATCCATAAGTTCTTGTACATAATTTTGGAATGTACAGCGAGAGTTATATCGATCGATAAAGTGTTTGCTTAAAATGTAGCGTAGATGCCATTTTTCTTCTGTAGAGATGTGTTGAATGTCAGACATCGTCTTGTTATTCAGTTAAACGTTTGTTGTTGTCTTAATTGTACATAATGATTAAGTTGCGCTGTAATGTAGGATTATCTTATAATTCGTGTGATCGATGTTTTTATGGTCTTCGAACACAAGTGTCTTACTGAAACTTCTGCCGCCGCCATACTTTGTTTACTTTTGTATTTTCCCATTATGCCTCGCGGTGTATTGATCGATTTTCATCGTAGTTATTTCGGCGGAAGATTTGATTGTAAATTCTGTTAAATTAGGCCTAAATGTTAAACACTGCTAGATGAGCTTTTAAAAGTATAATAAATAACATTATATTTTATTGATTTATAAAATTATTTTATGTATTTCTAAAATTTATTTACGTATTTCTAAAATTTATTTGCGTAATTTTACCCCAAAAATTCAAAAAAAAAAAAAAAAAAAAAAAACAAAAAAACAAAGGCCCTCTAGAAATGCTAATGAAATAAAAAAAAATACTCTGTATTTTAGTAACTCCAAATTATCATTCCCTGCTCTGCTAAAAGAGAAAATAAATAATGATACTGAATTAACAGAGTGCAGTTTGCACTGAAATGAAGTTTTGAATGGTATTATATACGCAGATTAAAATTAGTTCATTCCAAATACTGTAGAATTTTTCAATTAAAATTTTTTTGGGGGGTTTTGCAGGAAAAGTTAAGTTTATTGCTATGTCATTTCAAGAAGCTTTACGAGGAAAAAACTTAAGGCATTTAAAAAAATTGGTTCATCATTTTTATTGTACATTTATGTTGAGGAGGGACACAAAGGCATTCACAAAGTCACAAGGACGTCACCAGATGCACATAGACTATACATGTACTGTATTATAAAATAATTATTACAATATTACTGTATTGATAAAAGGTTTTGAGGATCTCCATAACGTACTAGTGTAAAACAATCAGCAAATAGAACTTCAGACAATCACTACCAAAAGCAAACATCAAAATGAATCTCAAAAAAAAAATTAAAATCACGGAAGCTATGATACAATTCCAGAGTCCACAAAGATACTTTAATACTGCAGGTGCATTAGGCCAGAGTAAAACTAAATATCCAACTCTACTGGAAATAGGTGAACATAGAGAATAATACATACCCTTTTCCATATCACATCCTGTATCAGCCCGAGACACCAATATCAGCCAGAGGGCCGAAGGCCCGAGGGCTGATATTGGTCGAGGGCTGATACAGGATGTGATGTGGAAAAGGGTATGTTTTATTATATTTATTACATACTTAGTAATAAAATACAGAACACATTCAGTTGAGAAGAAAGTAAGTAAATAATCATGCACGAACTTCTTACATACATGTACATAGTCTAATGTCTCATAAGATTTGGGTTTGTTTCTACTTCTATTTCAATGCACTTGATCCGTCATTTGAAAATATTCTCTAGTATTACATGTATTTGTAAATTAAGATTAACCTTATTTTCAAAAGGTTAAAATTAAGAGAATATGAACGCACCAAAAATTGTGTATGATCACAAGTACTGTTTTGTGGTTTAATTTACTAAGGGTTTGATATTGACGTCACAATAGCCGTATCAGCCCTGCAGGGCTGATATGGATTTGCAGGGCTGATACGGATATCAGCCCCGCAAATCCATATCAGCCCTGCAGGGTTGATACGGCTACTGTGACGTCAGCCATATCGCATATGCAAAAAACCTGTATTTATTACTAAGTGTGTAATAAAGTGGAATATACATGCTTTCTGAATTGCATAAAAGAAACCTTCACTACAAGCTGTCAGGAAATACTTGGGGTAAAGAAATACACTTTCAAATATTATGTTACGAATGATACACCCAGTAAGGTAAATTATCAGTAAAATCAGAAAGCAATATTCAATTCTAGTAGAACAACAGCTCAAAATGCAAAGGCACTTTAGGAATATGCAGCGGTAAATAATAGAACAAATACAGTACCAAAGCTGTCAGTGACAAAAATTAAATGGA